TGGCAGGAGGATGTGGCAGATGCTGAAGAGTGTGCTAGGCTCTGTGGGCCCCTCCTGGACTGCCGGTGAGTGCCCTTGTGGTCTAGATTTGGCTGGAGGTATGGGAACCTGGGCCTCTGAATAACCCTGTGCCTTCTCCTCCCCAGTGCCTTCCATTATAACATGAGTAGCAATGGTTGCCAACTCCTGCCGTGGACCCAGCACTCGCCCCACATGCAGCTACAACGTTCTGGGTGCTGTGATCTCTTCCAGAAAAAAGGCAAGTGGGTGCAGGGAAGAGCAGGGCGAATATGAGGTCAGGGACCTCAGACCCTCTTAACCTTTCATCTCTTGCTTCCAGACTATGTGCGGTCCTGCCTCATGGACAATGGGGTTGGGTACCGGGGCACTGTGGCAACAACAGCAGGTGGCCTGCCCTGCCAAGCTTGGAGACACAGGTTCCCTAACGACCACAAGTGAGACTGATATTTTCCCTATATCCCAGCCCATAGACTTTCCGCAGCACACACTGTAGCAACGACTCTCTGCCTCCAGGTATACTCCCACACTCCGGAACGGCCTGGAAGAGAACTTCTGCCGCAATCCTGATGGGGACCCTGGAGGTCCCTGGTGCTACACGACAAACCCTGAAGTGCGCTTCCAAAGCTGTGGCATCAAGTCCTGCCAGGAGGGTAAGCAGCGCTCGGTCAAGCCTGGGGAGGGAGGAACAGGCCCACTCCTGTCCAGGAACGTACTGGCGCTGTGTCTCCAGCTGCTTGCATTTGGTGCAACGGCGAAGATTACCGCGGCGCGGTGGACCATACAGAGTCGGGACGCGAGTGCCAGCGCTGGGACCTGCAGCACCCCCATCCGCATCCCTTCGAGCCTGGCAAGTACGTGTGGGTGTAGCTCTCCGGGGGCGGGGCTAAGGGAAGGTCCAGACCTACAGGAGTGGGGCTGTAGGTCCGATCCTGACAGGAAGGGTCAGGGGAAAATGACCCTTCACTTTCATCAGATCCACCCATCCCCAGACCTGGTACAGTATGAGAAGTGCGGACAGGCTGGATCAGCAGCAGGTTCAGCAAGAAGGAAATTGGGCAGGGACAGAGTCCCAGGGTCTTCTTCATGCCCGCTATTACCCCCAGGTTTCCGGACCAAGGTCTGGATGACAACTATTGCCGAAATCCTGATGGATCTGAGCGACCCTGGTGCTACACTATAGACCCGCAGCTCGAGCGAGAATTCTGCGACCTCCCCCATTGTGGTAGGCCACGGGGACTGAGCTTGGAAGGGCATCTGGGAAAAGTTGGGGGAAGAGCGTGACTTGGCTGGGGTGGGACAACCCAACGGGAAGTTAAGAGCAAATCCTGCTGAGTACTAAAGATCTATAAGAGGAAAAGCCCAGCCCAAGCTCAGCCTCCGGTCAGGGTCCGATCTTCCCCGGTCCATCCAAGGATCCGAGGCACAACCAAGCCGCGAGGCCACAACATTCAGCTGCTTCCGCGGGAAGGGTGAGGGTTATCGGGGCACAGCCAATACTACCACTACGGGCGTGCCTTGCCAGCGTTGGGACGCTCAGAGCCCGCATCAGCACCGGTTTGCGCCGGAAAAATACGCTTGCAAGTGAGTGATCCTAGGGCGCTGGGGGGAGTATTTGGGCGGGAGGGGGCGGGACTTGAAGGAGTTTTTTTTTTGGGGGGGGCCTGGAGGCCCAGTCCCATAGCGGAGGCGGCTGTCTGTCCAGGGACCTTCGGGAGAACTTCTGCCGAAACCCAGACGGCTCCGAGGCGCCCTGGTGCTTCACCTCACGGCCTGGTATGCGCGTGGCTTTTTGCTACCAGATCCAGCGCTGTACTGACGACGTGCGGCCGGAGGGTAAGGCCCGAGCAGAAGGAATAGAGGCGCCAAGCCTGAGGGTCAGGGTGAGGGACTGGAGCTGACCGGTCAGCTCTCTCTGACCCGCCCATGGCAGATTGTTACTACGGCTCAGGTGAGCAGTACCGCGGCTCAGTCAGCAAGACCCGCAAGGGTGTCCAGTGCCAGCGCTGGTCTGCTGAGACACCGCACAAGCCTCAGTAAGTGCGCTTTAAGCCTTGGGCAATACGCTTTGGCTTCTTGGACCTGAGTTTGGAGAAAGTTTGAGACCACCCTGCCATGATTTTGTTCCGGCTTCCACCTAGATACACGCCCTCCTCAGTTCCTCAAGCTCAACTGAAGGAAAACTTCTGCCGGAATCCAGATGGGGATAGTCACGGGCCATGGTGCTACACAATTGACCCAGGGACTCCCTTTGACTACTGTGCCCTTCGACGCTGCAGTGAGTGTTGATAACTCTTCCCCATATACTGCCTCAGCCATCAACCTCAGATTGGTTCTCCCATAACATGGATATACTTGGTCTTTCAGATGATGACCAGCCACTGTCCATCCTAGATCCCCCAGGTGAAGACTTGGGCAAGTAGTGGGTAGAGCCCCTTTGTCCCTCCACCTCTATCCAAGGGGGTTTCATCAGACACCCCCATCCCCAGACCAGGTACAGTTTGAGAAATGCGGCAAGAGGGTGGACAGGCTGGATCAACGGCGCTCCAGGCTCCGTGTGGTGGGGGGCCATCCTGGGAACTCACCCTGGACAGTCAGTTTGCGTAATCGGTGAGGCAAAAGTGTCTGTCCCTCCAGGACAGGAGCTGAGGTTGTGTCCTGTTTTTATGCTAGTGGGGGATGGGAACCTGCTGCTGGTCTCAAATCCTACCGAGAAAATGGCAGGTCCAGTATGTGTCCCAGAACTCACCGTTTCTTTTCCTAACCCCAATTCTTGCAGGCAGGGACAGCATTTCTGTGGAGGGTCCCTAGTAAAGGAACAGTGGGTACTGTCTGCCCGGCAATGCTTCTCATCCTGGTGAGCCTCTCTTGGGTTTGGGGAACTCAGTCCCACTTTTTTTTTTTAATATCATTATTTATTATTATTATTATTATTATTATTTTTTTTTTTAAATTTTAACATTTATTTATTTTTAATTCTCGGCGGACACAACATCATTGTTGGTATGTGGTGCTGCTGGGGATCGAACCCGGGCCGCACGCATGCTAGGCGAGCGCGCTACCGCTTGAGCCACATCCCCAGCCCCAATTATTTATTATTTGTTTATTTTGATGTGGTGCTGAGGATTGAACCCAGGGACTCACACCTGTGAGGCAAGCACTCAAGCACTCTACCACTGAGCTATAGCCTCAGTCCCCTCAATCCCACTCTTTGTCTTCCCTCTAGCCACCTTCCCCAGACAAGCCTAACAAGTGAGCCAGGAGGCAGCACACTGGCAATCAAGAGTGATCTAGGGCTAGAGTTGTGGCTGCTGGCATGTATGAGGCAGGCATGTAATAAATTAGCCAGATATGGTAGTGCAAGCCCGTAATCCCAGCAGTGGGGGAGGCTGAGGCAAGAAGGATTAGAGTTCAAAGCCAGCCTCGGCAAAAGCAAGGGGCTAAGCAACTCAGTGAGACCACAAAAAAAAAAAAAAAAAAAAAAAAAAAACCAAAACCACACACACACACAAAATATAGGGCTGGGGATGTGGCTCAGTGGTGAATTGCCTCCTAGTTCAATCCCCGGCACCAAAATAAATAAATAAATAAATAAATAAAAATGATCTAACAGAGCTTCTCTTCTAGCCATGAACCTCTCACGGGATATGAAGTGTGGTTGGGCACCCTGTTTCAGAACCCACAGCCAGGGGAGCCAGGCTTGCAGCAGATCCCAGTGGCCAAGATGGTGTGTGGGCCCTCAGGCTCCCAGCTTGTCCTGCTCAAGCTGAAGAGGTATGTGCACAAGTTCAGAGGGTATAAGGTGTAAGGGTTGGGCCTTGGGGCCTCAGGTGCTGACTGCCCTTTTTTCTGCTAAAGATCGGTGATCCTGAACCAGCGTGTGGCCCTGATCTGCCTACCCCCTGGGCGATATGTGGTGCCTCCAGGGACCAAGTGTGAGATTGCAGGCTGGGGTGAGACCAAAGGTAAGAACACAGTGCATAATCATGGACTGCTCCAGGCCAGAAGGTCCAGCTCTGGGTCCTGCCCAAGGGCCTCTCCTTCTCCCCATTCTCCTCACTGTAGGTACAAGTGATGATGTGGTCCTAAATGTGGCCTTGCTGAAAGTCATCTCCAACCAGAAGTGTAATGTCAAGCATCGAGGACGTGTCCGAGAGCACGAGATGTGCACTGAGGGATTATTGGTCCCTATGGGGGCCTGTGAGGTCAGTGGCTAGGCTCCTGGGCCAGCCCACGGAGGGTGTGAGGGGTTGGAGATGTATGATTTCAACCCCAAGAGGATAATCAATGCCATGGTCCAAGGCTCTCAACAGTTCCCTCTACCTGCCAGGGTGACTACGGTGGCCCACTTGCCTGCTTTACCCATGACTGCTGGGTCCTGGAGGGAATTATAATCCCCAACCGAGTGTGTGCCCGGCCCGGCTGGCCAGCCATCTTCACGCGTGTCTCTGTGTTTGTGGACTGGATTCACAAAGTCATACAGCTGGGCTAGGCCTGGTCTTAACCCCTTGCGTTAGGGAGCACAAAACTTGTCAGACATAAAGCCACCTTTTCTCTTTACACCTGTGGAAAATGCCTCTTAGCTCTGCTTCTAGGGAATGAGTTTGTGACTCCTTATTAGGGCCTGGGTGGCTGGAGCCCAGCAACCATTGGCTAGGTGGTCTGACCCTGGAAGTACTTTTGCCTGTGGGTTCTTTGGAGGTGCAAGGTCTCATGTATCCTCCAGAGGTACTTTTGGGAGCAGAGGGTGGTGCAGAGCAGATTCTAACTGAAAAGACAATAGCCAAAGAAGCTAGCCTGGTGCAGAGTCCCATTTGGCCAAAACTGACAGGCGCAGAGCCTCTCACTTCCCTCTGCTTCTGACATTGGAGACACATGAAGCCCTTGTAGCTATCACATTCAGGGCCGTAGGCCTCTGGACCCCAGGATTAGGGATGGGGATGGGGATGGGGATGGGAATGGCGTGGTACAAAGTACCATCATTGAACCAGGATCTGTGTCCTTATTTATTATTACATAGCCCACATTCCCCCGCCACTCATTCAGAGTCCAGAGCCCAGGAGGCCCTTCACTGCTCTGTTAGATTTTGGAGCTCTCCAAGAAAAAGTATGATATTCCAGCTCACGCAGAATGGCAGGGCTTCAGCTACCCAAGTGTGTGTGCAGCCAGAGCACAGCATTCATGAAGCTGTCTGATTCCACCTCCACCTCTGATAGTGCATGGGTGCTTTTGGGATAGAGCAGGAGCCTGTAGGGGTAGGGCAGCAACATTTGAGGTTGGGGGGTCCTCCCCTGCTCACCTGCCCACCAGCTGTCAAGGATAGCCTAAGACACTCACCGAACAGGCACGTTCCGGGCCTTTAGGGCACGGTAATACTCCATGCCCTGCTTAAAGGGTACACGCCGGTCCTCCTGTCCCAGCATTAGTAACAGCGGGGTCTTTACCTAGGTGTGCGAGGAGCCAGGTGGGGGGCATTGGTGAACTGGCCCCTGGATTCTGGGTGGATAGATGGCACACGGGATAAGGAAGAAAACTAGGTACCTGAGGGATATACTTGATGGGTGACTTGTCCAGCATCTCTGCCCACACACTGAGGTCTGGCAGGCAGTCATTGCTATAAGGGAAGCCAGCCTCCACCACACACCTGCAAGAAACCAATCTGATATAGCCCCAGGAATTCTGATTCCTACAGGGGCTCCACTGGAATAAAATACAGGGTGGAAGGGAGGAAGACAGAAACCTGTGTTACATACTCACCAGTCAGGGATGTCAGTGGAGCCCATCATGGAGGCTATATTGATCACAGGGTTCCGGGCCACGCAGGCACCATAGGTCTCAGGGTATTGACCAATCAAGTGGCACGACAAAAACCCACCATGGGAACCACCCATAAGGGCCACACGGCCTGCATCAAAGTGCTCCTCCTGGAGTACCTGCTCCACTGCAAACTACAAGGTGAGGCACAGCACACTGCAGCCAGCTGCCTGCCCAGTTGAATAGAGCCACACCCTGACAGCCCACCCTCCAGCCTGTCCAGAAGCCCCAGCCCTCTGCTACCTGGACATCCTTCACATCCTGGTGGCCTACATTGCCTGGGAGGGAAAGGATACTGTCCTGACCAAAGCCCGTGGAGCCACGATAGTTCACTGAAGGCAAGGGAGGGAACAGACAGAGTTGTCAAACAACATTCTCATTTCCCTGGACAATATTTCACACATTTGTGAAGTAAACCCTGAGACCAGAAGTACAACAGTCTGTCAAGGGGAAAGGGTCAAGAGGTTTGAGGCTGCTACCCAGTGACCACAGCATTCTTTCTATGGAAGTCCCAAAATCTACTTATCACCATACATGGGGCCAGAGGCTGCGCCAGAGCAGTTCTTGGTAATGGTTACTAGAGAAAATAACCAGGCTACAGAAAAGCCAGGAGACTGGGGAGGCATCTTTGAGGCTTATACAAACCAGCCCCACCCCATTACTCCACCAAAGCCTTAGTAGAGTATAGGTCCCTCCTTGCTCACCTAATAGCACTGCAAAGCCCATCTTGCAAAGCATGGCTGGGAACAGCATCCAGGCAGTGACAAAGGATGAATGGGGTCCTCCTGTAGACAAGGAGTAGAAGATGAAAGGGCCAGCTAGGAGGGATGATAGGAGTGCAAGGACTCTTCCGCCAGATGCCTACCGTGGGGCATAACCACCATGGGCACCTGAGTCTTATCTGGAGTGTTGCTGGGCTGCAGAAGGATTGCTTCAAAGTCAAGGCCAGCTGCAGAGAGAAGGCAGCAGTCAGCAGGGCCAGTGCCACTTCCTAAGGCCTTCCCTATCCAAGCCATCTAAAACTATAGGTCTGAGGCGACCTGTGGCCAAGGTGGCCTACAGCATAGTATATAAACTTTTGAAGGTTTATGCTCCTTTTACCCTAATCAGGGAGCCCCACTCTGAGGAGATAGCGTTCTGTAGGATGTATGATCACACAGGCCTTATATGAGGCCTGTTCTTTTTAGACCTTGGACAGGTCATTCAGCCTGGTGGTACCTAGTTCTGATACCCAGAGCAGAGGCTCAGATCCCTAGATATTTCTCCCCATGAACACAAAAAACACAGTAAACTTCTTAAAAGACACTCAGGAAACTCTACAATATAAGCCAGGAAGCAGAAAGGTACAGAGAAGATGTGATGTGTTGGAAGCCTGAAGAAAGTGTCCCTCTGCTCTTGGCCCAGCTCACCATACTGCACATTTTCTTGATCTGGGGGTGGCTGTAGCACCCGGATGCTCCAGTGGATGTCAGGAATGGGCTCAGCCTCCTCCAGGGCTACCCACAACACTGATTGCTCCTTCCCTGCAGGAGGCAGGAACCCAACTTTCTGCCAAGGGGAAGGAAAGTGTCACAGGTGGCCTGGCTACCTCCCTGCCCTTGTGCTTCTACCCAGGGTGGGAGGTGGGAAAATCTTATCAAGCTGGGCTTCACATATATCTCTAGAGGATACAGAATGGACTCTTGTGAGCTGGTGCATACCAAGGTATTCTTATTCACATTGAATCCTTCCTCATCCCCACCCTGCATACCTCCCTGGCTTCTAGGTTTTGATGTCTGTCTCCCTATAAAATCAGAGGTCTAGGCATTTCCCCAGTTACCCTGTTTAGGACAGAGAAAGCCCCAGCATGCAGTTCCTCCCGGTGAATGCCAAACCTTTGTGAACCATGCTGGACTGGGTATGTGCTTCAGCCCTTTTACATGCTGATCAGACATGGTCAGACTCTGGACCAGTTTCCTGGCCTGGGAAGCTCTGCCTACATTGAATCCCTGCCTGCCAGCCTGAACCCACCAACACTCACCAGGCTTGGAGGCAGGCTGGGTGTGGAGAACTGTACCACCATAAGGTCCCGGTCAATTGTAAGTAGCTTCCAGCTTCCACCTGACCCCCCTGGAGAAAAAAGATGTCACTAAGTGCATGGCAGGGACCACCTTTCCCATCTGCTCTCTGCAGAATCCCACTGGAGGTTCTATGGAAAGGTGCCCCTTTCACCCTGAGAAGTATTTACCCAACTGCACATGACCCTGGGTGAGTCTCCTCCTCAGTCCCTTATTCATCTGGACACTGGCTGTGCCTAAGAAATGAAAGACCTGGGGACACACCAGACCACCAAGGCCTTCAATGACTACAGTGTAAAGGAGCCCAGGAAGTTGGGTTGGAGACTGGGCTATGGGGTTTAAGCAAATGCTTAAGCAGGAACTATGTCATGAGATGTAGGTTTAGAATTAATACTTTCATAGTTTTGTGGAGGAACAGGTAGTCAGGGTAGGTGTCTCAAAAGACATTTCAGGGACTGACACCAGGCCTGATTGTAGGGAAGATGGAAGTGCTAATACTAGATTTCTCCTGGGCCTGAAGGTGGCAGAGCTGCTTCTGCCTAGGACAGGGCACCCAAGGGCTAGGGAAGGGAAGGATGATTCTGGCAGATCTAGGCTAGAGAAAGTTCTGTGGGCTTTAGGAGCAGGGTAGGTAACATGTTGAGGCTAGGCCAGGACATAGTTGAGTACTGAAGGTCAGTGGAACAGGAAAGGGTTTTGCATGGATAGAATCCTCAGAGGACTACTGGAAAAGCCTGTAGAATAGTCAGTGGCTGAGAGTGCTGCTGTTACCACACATATACCTGTAGCTCCAGCTGTCTAACCCTAATCCAGTTGGCTCACTCACCCTGCTCTTACCACCACACCAGAACCCCTGCTCACCAGCTGTTAAGGAGGTCACATTGCCCATCTGAGTGTCCACAGCAAATAGATCCTGAGGCAGAGAGAAAACCACATGGGCACCACATCCAAGAGCCCTGAGGGCCCAGGTTCAAATCTCAGTTCCATCATAATTGAGTATCACTGGGCAAGGTAAGAAATATTACTGGGTTCTTTTTTTGGTAGTGGGGATTAAACCCAGGGACACTAAACGACTGAGCCACATCCTCAGCCATTTTTTTAATATTTTACTTAGAGACAGGGTCTTGCTGAGTTGCTTAGGGCCTCACTAAGTTGCTGAGGCTGGCTTTGAACTCGTGATCCTTCTGTCTCAGCCTCCCAAGCTGCTGGGATTATAGGCAAGCACCGCTGCACCTGGTCACTGGATCCTTTTGAGTTAGCAAGAGACCAAATGATATTACACCCAAAAGGAGACTGGTATACTATAGACATCTTCATCCCATCCCTAGGGTAAGGGTTTGGTCTTATCTCCATTAGCTGCCTTTAAATGAATATCCTGGACCCACCCAGTGGCAGCCCCTTTCTCCCCCAGCTGGGAGAGGATGTACCTGTGCCTCAGGCAAAAAGGTCAAAGGTTCTGCTATGGGGCGCCAGGGCAGTTGATCCCCTCAAGGAGAATCAAGTGCAAGACAGGACAGGAAGGATTTTTTCAAAGGGCAGGTGAGACACTAGGACTGGGCATTCCCCAAAGGCATGTATATGCTATGCCTCAGGGCCCAGATTCCTGGCAGTTGATCATAGTGTCTGTTACCTGTCGGCTGCGTTGAGCTGAATCAAAGATTACTCTCCGGCTGTCAGCTGACCAGCATCCTAGAGGCAGAAGGCTGCAGTAGATCCCAGAGAAGCTCTCTGAAAAAATGGGAAGGCTGGTGCTGGGTCCAGGAGCAGAGGTTATGGGGGGTCAAGACTATGAAGTAGGCTGGGCTTTTAGGGAATCCACCTGGGGCCCCTGCAACTTATAACAAAATGGCAGTCTCACTCTGGTGATGAGAAGCTGCCTGCATGAGGGAGGAAGAGAAGACTCTGAGGACGCTTAAGAAGCAGTTTGAGAACTACTGAGAAACAATGGGTTCTCAAAAGAAAAGCACTTGCTTTTCCTAAGTTGCTCTGGGCCTCTGGTATCTTTAAGCAAGATAGCACCTGTTTGTCCACTGTAGCGCTGAGCACAGTGTATGCACAGGGGGCTCAAAAGTCTTATCCTTTAATATTATCACCATTTAACTCTCAATATAATACTACAAGGAAAAGAGGGACTACTACTCTCTCCACAAAGAAATGTGGCTGGGTCACTGTCCAAGGACACACTGCTAATCAGGGGCAGAGCTGGGGTTCAAACTAGAACCCCATCACTACATCCCTGCAATCACAGAGAAGACTTTTTTCCTGGTACTAGGGATCCAACTCAGGATCTCATGCACACTACTACTAAAGTACAGCCTCAGCTGCAAGAGACAATCTTATTCATTGGACTCTTGGAATTTTCTGGGCAGCTTGGAAAAAAAAGACTTTCTCCCCTCATGTCATTGGGATGGCCCCGGATCTCAAGCAGAGCTGTAAACACCTGAAATTTAGACAGGAGCCTCCCAGCCAAGAACCACCTTCCCAGGGGACTATCTGACTTGAACTGGACAAAGGCTGCTGGGGTTTAGTGAAGAGCAGGGTAACATAGCACCCTTGGGTCCAGGGCCTTTCAAGTATGATACTTCAACCTAGCACTCTTTCTGAGACCTGCTCAAAGAAACAAAGGTTTTAGCCAGCTCTTAGAAAAACAAATATCTATGAAATTTAATGCAGACATTAAATTATCTAAAGCTCCAGCTAGCTCAGTCCACTGTGATCTAAGCTTTCATCCAGCCAACACTTTCATCCAGCCAGAATCATTCCCCATAGTGATGGCCCCACTCCCCATGGAGGCTGGGCACAGGGGCAGCCCAGCAGGGAGAAAGGGTCCTCTGAAGGAACCCAGGAAGGAAGAGCCAGGGATGGATGGAATAGATAGCAGGAACTCACAGAACTATAGGCCCCAATGTATCCCACAGACAGTACCCCTCACCTCCCAGCTGCCGAGGTACAACATCCACCACCACTGAGATGACTTTGGTATACCAGTCATACTGCAAGAGAAGGTAAGAGTCAGGACTGCCCAGGGACAGGCAATACCCTCAGGGCATAGAGCTCTGCATCTATTCTCTTCAGTGACAGCTTTGGATAGCCTGGGGGGAAAGGAAGGGGGACCTCAGAGGAGCCTGATATATTTCCTTTCCAGTGACCTGGACCAGGTGCCCACAGAGGCCTCAGATACGCATATCTAAGTCAGAGGACTTTCATAGAGGCCCACAACTCTATCTGGGTAGGGTCTGGGATTATGTAACTCCCCACTATATTCCAGTCCCTTGCAAAGCCTGGGCTACATGCAGATGAGAATCAAGGAAAGGAACATTCTTATAGATGGAGGATGCTGTCAAGGTGATGAGCCCTGACAGTGTACAAAGCCCTCCATTCCTTGAGAACAGGAAAACTCACACTACTGTTGCACCCAGGACAGAAGAATATCTACAAAGGGGTTCATGGGGAGATGATGCTGGCCCTTCAGCTCTCAGCCACCATCTCCTCTTTCTGCTAATCACCCAAACACCTCCAAACCTCCAGCTCACCAGGCACAGCTGGCTACACTGATGATGAGGGATCAGAGATGGGTACTGCAAGTAGACGATGCGACACTGGTCTGGGCTCAGCCGGGGAGAAGAAATAGCCAGGGAGTCATCCGAGAGGAGTTCTGGGTCACACAGAAACGTGAGCATCACACAGACTAGCAGGGCCAATGTGGGTTAGAAAAGCACAGGTGGGCGCTAGCCACTTACCACACTTTCCCCCGATGAGGTCTACATAATACAGAGCTGACCTGGAATGGACAGAGAGACACTCAGGTTCAAGGCTAGCTGGGCTGCAAGGCACTTGCCTGTCTCACTTCCTTACCTGCGATTGGTACAGAAACGGATGCCTAGCCGGAAGGGCTCATGCCACCAACCTACGAACACCACACCTGTGTCCCCAGGGGCCCAAAAAGCCTGTAAACAAGACCACAGGGCAGTTGTAAGTAAGGGGCAGTTGTTCAAGCAGGGGGTCCCAGACTCCAGGAGGGAGGACATATGCTGGGTGGCTACTGACCTGTCCAGGGGATATATTCTCAGGGACTCCCTCGAGCACAGAGATGTTACCACTCTCGATATCCAGCACACAGAGCACAGGGATGCTTTTAGTAACCATGTTCTCGCCCCAGTCTTCATAAAACACAAACTGGTCCCCCTGAGAACACAGGATACTCAATGTCCAGTCTGTCTACAAATCCCTACTCTGCTTCCTAGAAGCCAGTGCCTCCCCAGTTCTGGCAGGTACAGTTTGAGAAGGGAGCACACTGAGTCCCAGGGCAGCCCTTCAGGGTCTTCATGTACTGGCCATTCCACAAGCACCTTGATGGCCTGGTCTGGCTTCTTCGGTGTGGCCATCTCATCATCTCTGGCATTCATGTCCAAGGCTTTAGTCTGAAAGAAGGACTCAGCCTTGGGGCGCTTCTTCTCTGCCACATACAACAAGTGTGTCTCCGAGTGTGACCAGGACAGGCAGCCAAAGCAGTCTGGGTAGAGAGGACCAATCAGGGGGAGTCCAGGGCTATGTATTTCCCTGCTGTCCACCCTGCTTTCTCACCAACCAGATGCCTCACCATCCTCATAAACAGACCCATGTTTCTCCAGTGCTGATAGGTTGAAGCTCTTGAGCTTCCGGTTCTTCTCCCAGACCTGTGGACATCTGGACATTAGGTTGTCTGCCCCTTATCTGTGGGGCTGAGCTCTCTGTCACCTACTCTGGTCCCATACAGACTCACCTCCAGGAACTGCTTTTCCTCCCCAGGACCCATGCCTCCAGTCTTACGAAGCACAGCTTTCATGGTGCCTGAAGGAGACTCTCTGCTCAGTAGCCTAAGGATATGGGTAGCAGGTTAGGATTATGTCTCAACCCCAAATAGCCCAGATTCTTAAGGTTCTTGTCACATACTAGCCCTTGCAGCATCTCTTACTACCACAATGGCAGGTGGTCTTGCCTCTCTTCCCTAGGGCAGGAACTCAGGGATACTATGGGCTTGAGGCTGAGCCCATGTATGGAGCAAGCCTTCAGTGCTTATCAGGTCATGTCACCAGAGACCAAGTGAGCTCCCAAGGGGCAGGAACCTCGTTCCTAGCTTCCCTCTGGGCCCTATCCACATGTAGGCATTCATAAAAGGCTAGTATGGCAGACGGTGGTGGCCTTATCCACAAACTTCCTCCCTCAAACTTACTCCCCCCGGGTTTCCACACTGTTGCCTGCAGGCCCTGCAAACACCACTGAGTCCCCATCATGGAACACCAGGTACTGGCGGCAGAATCGGATGTTCTCCATTCGTTCCAGATCCCTCTGGGTCCACTCTGCAATGGGAGGCATGAGGCTGCTCAACCTGTCTTAGCCAGTCTGGGCACTGCCCCTCACCCAGGAAGGCCCAGATCCACCTTCCCCAATCTGTCTCCAGACACCCAGGGTAAAGCCTGGAAAACACTTGATCACAAACCAAGTCCAGGCCTCCAGAGCCTGAGCTAACAATTGCTTGGAGAAAACTTATTGTCCCTGCCCCCCTCCTGGATCCCCTAAAATCTTGAGGGCAGCCAGGCATGTATATCGGATGGAGTGGTATGAATCTGCCTTACAAGGCCCACACCTTGCACTCATATCTGTGTTCTACTCCAAATCCCTCAACCCACGTACTACAGGACACTAATGCCTGCACAGCCTCCCTGCATATACCTGTGAGCAGAAAATTGAACGGGATACCCTTTCAACCCAGGCTTCCTCCACACACTCCTGTGTATTGTTAAGCACCCTCCACTTTTCCCTCCTCTCCTCTCGTCGCTACCCAATTCCCCTGCGTCCACACACCAGTGTGCACTGTCCGGTAGCGGCCCCCATACTGCGTGGTGACCTCCGGGCCCAGGCAGGCGGCGCTCAGCGTGGGTTGCCGGCTAAGGCCCCGGTACAGCGCCGCCGCCTCCTCGGGCTCGCTCAGCAGCACCTGCGCAGGGGACACACCAGGGTCAGGCCCGGCCCGGGCTGCACAGACCACGGGGTTCGCGGGCCGAGCCCTCACCTGACGCTCCATAGCCTCCTCTCTGTAGCAGGGAAAAGGCGGGGCGTTCTAGAGCCCGGAAGTGAGCCTTTGAGGGGCGGAGCCTGGGGCAACACAGCCTGTTTCCGCTACAGTCTGATGGCCAATGGGAGGGGCGAGACCTTGGATGAACAGGCTAGAACCGTTGACAGATGGCGGGGCCTCGATGGCAAAAAGGCGGGACTTTTGAGGGAGGAGTCCTGGAGGACAGCGGACCGAAACCTCGCGGAAAGGACTAGATTGAGTGGGGAGTGGAGGTTGCGGGAGGCGAGTGGGAGGCGGGGTCTGTGGGCCAAATCCTGGGCCTCTTACCGAGAGGGGAGGAGGACTTGGGCTCTCTTGAGGAGACCCGTGGCGAGTGGAAGCGGAGTACAGAAGCCATGTTCAGCTAGGGGCGAGGTTTCTGAGGAAGGATGGGGTCTGAATCAGGATGAGGTTGCAAAGCGAAAAGCAGCGAGGTTAGACAGGAGTGAGCCTTAAACATTTAATGGAAGTGCGAAGCCTAACAGGAACACAGACCAAGAATCCTAAGGATCAGGGATGAGGCAGCGGGTGTGTAGATCTATGGAAGTGCGAGGACCTGCCAAGAGCCTGTCCTTATGGGTCTCCCAGCTGCTCTGGGGCTGAGAGTGGAGTCCCTCCTCATCCACTATGAGGCAAACATTCATTCGATGGTGCCCTGGAAAGACTCTCAGGCAGATGGGAGGGAAGGGCTCAGGTCCACGCGGAACATGGATCGGAGCTCTGAGATGTGGGGCAGAGGGTCAGGTGTTGCCTGGACTTATCAGTCACCAGACCTGTCCCAAGAGCTATCTGTCTATACAACCTTTCCCCCGCCCTTCTCAGTGGTGTTTTGCTGGAGATTGTAAACGATCTGGGCTTTTGTCTTCTTTCTCAGGCCTCATCTCAAGACTTTGGGTGCAGAGGCCCTGGTGAGGTCAGGTTACCCCCCAGGGCCAGAAAGCTTCCTGTGAAAAGAAGAACCTAGGTAGCAGTCTCCTTCTGCACGTGGCACAGGTCTGGGTTGACTAAGGTGGCAGGAGAGCAGCAATTAAACCAGCAGGGATGTCCTCTCCTTACTCCAAGTCTGGCTGGTCTTTCATATCTCAGGGACCTTGCTCCCAGAACCTCACCTTGCCTTTGAGATACCACTTGAGGCAAAGCTAATATTCTTTTTATTTATCTGTGTTTTCAAAATCTAATGATTCTGGGTTACTCCCAACCATCTGGGGAAATACTAAGATCTGGCAGCCATCAAGAATTCTGGGGTCTCGAGGCATGGTGGCAAACACCTGTAATCCCAGCGGCAGGAGGATCACCAGTTCAAAGCCAGCCTCAGCAACTTAGAGCCTAAGCAACTCAGTGAGGCCCTAAGCAACTCAATAAGATACAAAAGGGCTGGGGATGTGGCTCAAGTGGTAGCGCATGCTTGCCTGGCATGCGTGCGGCCCGGGTTCAATCCTCAGCACCACATACAAACAAAGTTGTTGTGTCTGCCGAAAAACTAAAAAATAAATATTAAAATAAATAAATAAGGTCTGGGGATGTGGCTCAGTGGTTAACTGCCGCTAGGTTCAATTCCCAGTACAAAAAAAAAAAAAAAAAAAAAAAAATAGGCCAAGCAAGGCAAGCAGTGTAAGGCTTGTTGGCAGCACAAGAGGGCAGCACCTGCTCGCCTACCTCCAGGAAGCTGTGTGCTTATTCTGGGAACCAAAGACTCAACAGACAGTGCAGTGAACTGCTGGCTTTACATAAGCTAGGAACCTATCCCTGGGTGCTTTTATGGAGGGCTCATTGTCTTGGAATGGCTTAGTGTGGACTCAGTCTGGGTCATACCATAGCTTGCTTGCTTTTTTTCTCCCCAGGATGAAATCCAGGGCCTCAGGCAAGCTAGGCAAGTGCACTACCACTGAGCAACACTCTGCCCCATGCCAGCACTTCTGAAATTTTGCTCTTTTACTCTTTTTTCTTTAATCGTGGATACAAATATCAAAAATTTTGGTATTTACCCCTTTAGCTATGGCTTCAGATTTTAGAAACCATCCCAGAGACAGTCTGCACGTTGTTTATACCAAGTCCTTTTATTCTGATACCACAGAATTACCTTGTCACAATACAGGGGAAGGGACACTGAAGTACCACGAGTTCTCACAGAGCACAGGAGGACGGCACACAATTCACAAGGTCATGTGGAGGACTCGGGTCATTGCACTTACAACTGTAAACTTGATTGTTTGACTTTGTACAGCACCCTTCCCCCCTCAAATAAAGAGGAGAAGGAAAAAAGAAAAGAAAGGGAGAGAGGGGGGAAGGAAAAGCAAAAACAAGACATAGAAGCTAGAGGAAAAGGTGTTGAGTGGCCACCACTCTCCAGTGTACTGCACTTGGAGAGAAGGAGTTGATTTGACCCCAGAGGCTGAATGAGGCAGAGACAGACAGACAGACAGACACACACACACACATGGACACGCACGTTCACATGCACACAACATCTCACAATTTCTATGGCTCTCCAGTGCCACTCAGTGCATATGGCAGCAGGGGCTGGCACCTGGGGCGACAGAGATGGAATCTCCAAGGCCTGTCCCTCTGACCCTGTTGGAGTCCATGATGATAAGTATTTACAGCATGGGTTGGGTAAGAGAGCAGGGGGAGGGGCCAATAGGGCAGGACTACCTGGTCATGGCAAAGACCAGCCTGGGAAATTCCCCACAGGCTCTAGAGGACAGGCCAGAATTGCTGCCACTATTGTTCTTTCATTATGGGCCTTAAGACTGCATGCCGTGCCCAGGACTAACAGGTTGGTGGTAGGGAGGATGCTATCACTATGAAGTGAGTGCATTAAAACCTCAAGTAGGCAGAGGAGAGAGTGCCCTTGTTCATGACACTGGGGGAGGGGGGAATGGATTTGGCCTGGACTGCATCCCAGTCACTTCTTCCCTATTTGGAGATGTGCCTATTTCTATTTCCCAAGCCACCAAATGTTGGTCCCTCAGCCACTGGCTGTATTGCTTCTAGAGTCACAGCTGCATCCCACTCAAGGGCTATGACACCCATAGGCCTGCCATAGCCATCTTCACAGAGGGGCAATGATATGTCCTATGGCTTCTGTGCAGGATAGGGAGTGGCAGAAGTCAGAAATTTCAAACTCAGAGGATTTGGTCACAAAGGAAATTTACTGAAAAGCCAACACTTTAAAGCCTCAGATTAGGCCTGATGGAGGCTGATTGGCTGACATCTCCCTGCCTACACTCTAGTCCCATTAGTGGAAAGAGTTATTGCCTTGGTATCACATCCCACACAGACCTGGTCCTGGGTGGCAAGAGGACCTAGATGATGGCCTCCCTCAGCCCTTGCTCAGATGGCCCAGGTCTGATCTCTGGGATGAGGTAGCTGACCCATGGCATGAGAGAGGTCAAATCCCAGAAGGCCAGGGTCTTAGATCCAACATGGAGATTGGGAGCTTCCTATCCCAGAGTGGACTGACAGTATCCCTCTCTGAAGGGGTATGTAGGTCTTATAGACAAGCATGAGAAATGTGGACCCCTGAGAAATGTGTGGTACAAAACAGAACGCTCTGAAGGAAGGTCAGACCCCAAGGGATCAGGTAGCAACTGCCTGTCCCATTCCTGGCTCAACAGTGGAGAAGCTGATGACAGTGGGATATTACTAGGGCTTTAGAGAAGAGGAAAGAGGCAGGGAAAGGTCCAGGGGACAGATGCAGAGAGGGCCACACAAGATTTTCCATAAGTCTTGCTATTGAGAAGTTTCTCAAGAAGTTCAGCTTAATGCCACTGTTGATGTGAAAAGTTCACCTGCTCTGGATGACATTGCTAGCCAAAGGCCATTAAAATGCCAAAAACTCAGCTCTTCCTGAGCACTTTTTAATCCCCTGGCTCCAGTCCAGATCTCCAGGCTCACAGCCCTTTGAACCTCCCAGCCACAAGGAGAGGTATGAAGCAGGTTCAGTCAGGATCTGGGGTCTCAGGATCTGCTCTTGGCCTCTGCTTCTCTGGCCAAGAATGCAGTCCATATCTGACCTTGAGAAATGCCCTGCTGGGTAGGGGCAGCCAGATGCCTCTGGTTCAGAGCTGGGAGTAGGAGAAGAAAATGGCATATAGATAGAAATCCTACATAAAACCTCAGAACTTTTATACACATGCATCCTGTGCAGGTTCCTACTCCAGGGTTTCCTTTTTACCTATCTTGGACAGAGAAAACTAGGGTGTGTGGGGCCTTGTACTGTTTGCCCTCCAATCTGGCATGCTTAGGCAGCAATTCTGGCAGATCCTCACTAGCTTGTACAGAAGTAAGCTGGAAGTGCTCCTGAAGGAGAGGTTCAGAGGCAAAAAGAACTCCAAGCAAGAGGGTTGAGCATTTAAAATGGATGAATCGTGCAAAGAGGCTGCGAGCTGTGCATGCTCCACTGCAGGACAGGCGGTGACTCACCTGGCAGCAGTGAGTTCTGCCATGGGTCAAACATGCCACAGACTGAGAATTTCACACACACACACACACACACACACACACACACACACACACTCACAGAGTGGGAGTAGGGACTGGGTGGGGTGATGATATGAGCATATCTATCTGGTTTCTCAATTGCATGTTTGCAATTAACTCCTTATACATAACATGGAATTTATTAAATATTAACAGTTGTCTTTGAGGGTTTATATTTCATTGCATAGAACGTTAGAGATGAGATTTGTGGCTGTGCCCAGGATGAAGGGAGGCCTCCAAGGGAAGGGCCTTGGTAAGGATGCCGCCTAATCCACCAGGTGGACGGACGGTGCCACACTCCCTTGCACATAGCTCTGGGCCTTTCCCTCAGCTGGCAGAAGCCCTGGCACCTCTGCTCTGAGCACACCCACTGGTGATGGCTTACGAAGGACTGAAATTGCACAGTAAACAGAGGCGGGCTGAGGAGCCTCCTTAGACCTCGCCCTGGGGTTGTGCTCTTGGTGGCCTGCTGCCCCCTATTGCTTCTAAGTCAGCATTCTCCCTGTGCTGAGCTGGGGCAGAGCAGAGAGGAAACCAAACCATCAGTCACAAGGTGTTGATGGGAGAGGCAGGGAGTGAGCAAAGGAAAGAGAAAGGGAA